TTTTGTAATTTATTCACCGCTTCATTATATATATACTCGATTTTATTATTTTAGTTTACTTGATAATGACGTTCTGGAAACGTCGAAACGTCGTGTCATGCTTTATAATATTTTATCGCAGTTTTTCATTGTCAAATGTTTTAGCAAATCTTTACTTATTCGTATTCTAAGTTCGTACTATAAATTATGGAACCTCTTTTTTCCGTTCCGATTTATGGCCCGCGCACTTCGCACTTGGGCCATAACCTCGAGCGGCCGGGAAAAAACTCGGTCCGTAGCTTATTGTATAGATCTTGAACAAACTCGGTTAGCAAGAGGTATCAATATTGAGCGTTTCTTGGAAGCCACTGCCTCTTAAGCGTGAGTGACCGCTTCCAACGTTCTCAACAGCAAGTTCAGTTATTATTATTACTATTTAACAATTCGATAAGTCACTTTTGGTTTCTATTGCGTGTTATCAACTAGCGTTCTATTGCAATTCTGCAATCTGATTGGCAACGCTACACGCAATCTAGATCTGTTTCTTGTAGACAGTGAGTAGCCCTATTAAGGCTATAAAGGCTCCTGGTTTTTACAGTCGCCACTAGAATGCAGGATTTGTGATAGAGCACTCGTCTGGTAGATATAAACAAATGTTGTTTGCCATGTACCACTACAATCTAGTCAGCTCATGCTATATCTCTTTCGATATTAGCACGTTTTACCTCCTCACCTTAGATCTCCCACTCTCCTGGTAATTCTGAAAGTTCGTTCCATCAGTGCTGAGAGCAAGTTCGTACTTTTTCACATCCTCAAAAAACACATAACGTCCTAGAACTAAAACTTCTAAATTCAGTTTAATCTATTTTATGGATTTCATTTACGTGAACTAAATATTATTCTTCCAAAACAAAAACCTAACCAAGGAAAGCTATGAGAGTTAAGCTTAGACACTTTTAAAAGCACAGCTACCGAATTTCCTCGAATAAGCGCCCACGCTCTTATTTTGAGCGCCCTCCCCCAAATAAGCACCCACCCTTTAGGCCATAACGTCAAACAGGAGCCCCTCTCGTATAAGTGCCCCACTTGCACAAACTATCTTGAAAGGGTATGGATTCAAGGAAAGGCTGTCTCTAAGGCCACCTTATTCAAAACCTTTTAAGCTTCAACTACAACAGAATCAGTACAGGAGAATAATAAGCGACCCCCGGATATGCGCCCCTCCTTCAAGCCGAAATTTTAAATAAGCGCCCGAATGCTTGTTCGAGGTAATAAAGTATACGAAGAAAGGAAATCACCGACTGATGAAAAACTTGTTAGTCACATCTACTATTAAAGTAAATATATGGCAGCCGCTAAAGAGAATTTGGATGCTAATCTCCTTATTCTATTTCACCTTGAGTATCGATTCCAGTGATGGTCTTCATCTGTCCCAAGTCAATCCTGAGCCACTGCGGGTTCCGATCCACTGCACACCAGCTACCAATTCGTTTGTTGTCGGAATCATCTTCAAAATAAAGACGAGCTTTGCTTCCCAACGCCCACCAGCCGCCACCTGGGCAAAGAATAACGTCATGAGAAAGAGTGGACGGAGCTTAACATCATGGCGTACCTTTGCAGTGCAAGTTCTTGCTGCGTATAGTGTCTCCCGAGAACGCGGATGCACACGAGCGGTAAGCGGAACTAAAGTGAAACTACTTGTGAGAGGATCTGACAGCTACGAGAGCAAAAAACAACCAAATGGAGAATCATTGTTTTTGAACTTAAAGCTGACCCAAAAGACATGCGCAGATCATTAATTTACAATTTCTCTAGTCTCGCCTGGACTAAGCTTGGTTGAGGCAGTGAATGCACTGTCAGGAAGTTTGTTATTCCAACCAAGACCGAGCGGTCCAGCGTCACGTTTCGCTTTGCAAGTCTTACGGCAATTCCTCAATATCCACCCAGAATGCTCGCATTGTGAGAGAGAGTAACTTGGGCAATTGCTTGATTTATCCACACAGCGAAGACCTACGGTAAACAATGTACAGAGAGCAGAAGCGCTGAGAGAAACGTCAGTAAAAAAGCGTCTCGTAACACATGCTATTTGTGATATGCACGGGAGGATTGTACTATAGGTTAAAGCGCAGGAGCTACATGTAAGGAGCGAAAAGTTAACGAGACTTATCTTCATTGTCATAGGGCGGGAACATCAGAGCGAAGCTGACAGAACAGCAATGCAGTTGTTTCGCGAAAACCTACTTTTAAGTATGTAACTAAGGATGGCATGTACCTACCTGTTTCATTTGCTGATGGACCGGAAGTGGGTGGTACAGTTGGGCTGCTTGTGCCTGTTGGAGGTGGTGGAAGCTTGAATTTCAATTGATATGTTAGCAATGGGTCAAGAATGTTTAGACACCTGAAAATCACGTATTAGGCGCTCATCCATATATTAAGCTGTTATCCTATTTAAACAGTCGGTTCTCAAAGTCCCGAAACTTTTTCCCCTTAGTACTGTAATTTTCAACTCTCTTAGGCGATCGCGTTCGCCTTTGACTGAGTCCCACCGGCCTACTTGTAATGTCTTGTACCTGTATTGAGTGGTCACTTCAAGCAGAACCACCGAAAATAAAAAACAAACAAAAAAAGAATGATATCTATAGTCCATTTTATTCTATATTTGTCGCCCGAAATCAGTGTCGGCTCTTTAAGTCCAAATGTCCTCTACACATTGTAGATTATCCTCCTTCTAAGGACTGTGAGGACAAAATAGCGTTTCTTTTATCGCGTTTGACTCCCGGTGGGTGACCGCATAATACAGTTTCGACTGTACCCTAAAATACAACATTTCATTCATATAAACAAACATTGTTGTTTCAGCTTGACAAGCGTAAGTCGCATACAGAGTTTATTTATCCCTGTGTGGGCTGTTGGAACTCGATGCTTTGCAAAAGAAAATCTGTGGTCGAAGTTCACGCATTACCTAGTCTTTTCAAAAGTAAAACGGTTTTACTGTTTGCTGTGTTTCATTAAAAGTTTACTTTGCTGAACAAGCTTGCAAATCTATACTTACAACCAGTACAAAATATTCAGTGCACAAGGCGAGCATAAAATTACCTACCAAGGAACTAGAAGCTAGAACTGAACTAAACTAGAGGTAGTTTAGAAGTTTAACAGCCCCGTGTCAAAAAAACATCGTCACATAATCGTCTTCAAATTCTAAATAACAAAGCTTTCTATCCACTCTCGAACTAAAGGAATAGACCGCGAGCAGTCCCTCCTTTTCGACGAAGTGCGTCGCGCGAGTCAAAACACTGAAGTCAGTGACGCGCCACGGGAGGCTCTTTAACCGAGGCGCCCTACTTTTCGAGAGCTTCTTAGTCTCATGAAGCTTCCACGGTGCATCGACGTCGCTCCAAAAGCTCCCCGCAACGTGGTGACATCAATTGTTTTTCTTCCTCAGATTTGTTTTGACTTGCAGGAAAGGAGGGAAATCAACTATAGGAAAAAATTTATCAACAATTTTCCTCGTGCCATTTTTAAAAATACCTTGCATTCTCAGTTTAGAAGCTAAGCTATGATTGGCCGAAAGAATTTATCTAGCCCCTCCTAGAATAATTGACTTTAACGATATGAGTAAACAAAATAAATAAAACAAAAGTGAACTGTTGTCTAGACTTGAGCCTTGGCACTAGCTAAGAAACACGAACCGTGCATTAAAAAAAAAGATCGAAACCGAACATTCGGAAACCTAAAAAATATCGTTAATGTTACTATATTTCACAGCTTTGCCGACTATTTTGGGGAGCAGTGAAACAGGATAAATTCCAAGAATTGAAAGAGGAGGAAATGTTGTTATACGTGCTTTGCTGTTAATTTGAAACAGTACACGCCTTGTCAAACCGAAAGAAAACAGAACAAAAATCTTTGCCTTCCGAACCAAGCTTTTCATGCCCCAAAGAAAGTGATGTGTCACGCACCTCGAGGGAAATGCCGCTCTGTACATCGGACTTTAGGCGTTCTATATAACATAGCGCTGTCTTCGCCAATTCATATCTCACTCGGTGGCGGAAACTTTGTCTTGCTTTCGTACAGGAATCGGAAGTGGGAAACGAAAGTCGAAAGTTCCCCTCCCAATCGATGACGTAATGTCAGGCTCGAGCTGGATAAATAAGAGCGATTTATCGTCACGAGATCATTCTTCTCTACAGCTCCCGCACTCAACCTCGTTACTGTTAAACATCCACAGATTTCAAACAGACCTCGGTGTTCTAAAGCTATAGAGGCCAAAGAGAACATGGAAAAGGTGAGTTCAAATATTCAATTTAGATTTCCAATATTCTAGAAAACCTTCGCTTCACCTTCACTGATTGAGCATAATGAATGCCATTGCGATTAGACTTGTCAAATACTTCGGCTCCGTGCGTAGAATATTGTCAGATCGAACAACTGAGCCACCTCATTCCGGCGAAATTCTACTTTCCTCTTCAATTAGTGGCTTTTAAAACTTTTTTTTTTCCCTCAAAGTAGATTGGAAATTGAAAGGCTCGTTTAAGACGTGTACAGTTATGCTCTTGCACAGATGAAAATGGGATTGCAAATGCGAAAACAGTCTTTTATAGTTACCATAGATCAGCATTGCTCTACGTAGCTCATGGCAAGACCTGATAGGCGACGTTTACCTACCGTGTCTCTTACAATAGAAATTATCCCAACACGTTCAAAGGAGG